ACCTCATAATATTTAGAAAATACCAGTGATTGCAGCGTTCATACTGGTGTTCCCCTAAGTCCCGAAGTTTGCTTCCGCGCCAATGTAACAAGGAACCCCCAACACTGTAGCAGATTGCAGAAGCCCACTGTTTAAAAGGGAACTCACCAGTTAACAGGCATGCTGGTCCACTGCTAACACTTCCTTGCCACGGTATTACTGCTCTACCCACAAACAACTCTGCTAACTGCTTGCCATCCCAGGGTAACCACCGGGCCCACATGTTCCTGGCTCATCTTAATGCTAATATTGTCACCTATTTTTTAAACAAGTTCCAAAACATAGGGAATTTATGACATGCTCATCCAAACCAGACCTCCTCGGTTTCTTGCATCCAAATGAACCCTGGATTCCTTCAGCAGAATCTCGGGTGCTGAAAACACAGTCATGGCCTCATGGACCCTCATAACACTGCCCTTGCCTCATTGGCCCTCTTCCGTATCATGATGAGGTAGTTTCAGCCCACTTCCTCGAGGTCAAGGCTCATTTACACGTTAGCAAAGTGATTGTGGCAAGCGGTGTAATCACCACAGCTGAGGCAGAGCATCTCCGAGCCTCCACTCCACTGTTTAATTACCCTCTGCACACCTATCGACTGCAGTTGTCATCACAGAGTCTATTCTTCCTCATTTCAGACTTCTGTGGGTCTGCTACTACTATTTCCCAGCAGCTAGATCTCCCCACTCTGCCCCCCGAGAACAGCCAGCAGATTGTCATAAAACACTGAAGCAAGTCCTTGCCACTACCCACGTATTGCTGCTGTGCTGTGGCTATGAGCCCATAAGGCTGGCTGAATCACAGGGGCTGGAAGCCTCACTTGTGCCAAGAAAACATGTAGCAAGGCATTCTGTGGGCCCTGAAATTTATAGACTGCACAGACCTGGCCACTCTCCTACCCCCACATGTGTGTTGACACAAGCCTCCTCTGGGTTGTGTCCAAGAAACCCTAGAAACATCCCTGGCCAAGAGCCACAGAAGCTGGGATCTGCGTAGGTGGTTCTCAGTTCAAGACAGAGATTTGCGTCTATTTCTCACTATGTATCTTCCCTCCAGGTGACCCTTCAGATGTCACCAACTTTCTGAAAGCTGTCTCACTCTGGTAGATAGAGAGAATGGTGCTCAGGATTCAAGGAACACTGGACACGTGGCCTAGGAGGCCAGACTCACCCTCCTTTCTCCAATAATACAGCATTTTTATACATTTGGGATATTATGGCTCTTTGCTTTTGAAGCAAAAGGAAATTTTTTTTTTTTTTTTTTTTTTTTTTTTTTTTTTTTTTTTGGTTTTTCGAGACAGGGTTTCTCTGTGTAGCTTTGCGCCTTTCCTGGGACTCACTTGGTAGCCCAGGCTGGCCTCGAACTCACAGAGATCCGCCTGGCTCTGCCTCCCGAGTGCTGGGATTAAAGGCGTGCGCCACCACCGCCCAGCACAAAAGGAAATTTAAATTAAGATATAGCAACACAGGGCTGAAGGTATAGGTCAGTCAGTATAGTGCCTGCCTAGCACATATAGGGAAGGCCCTGAGTTTGGTCCCCAGCGATGCATAAACTGGGTGTGGTAGCCCACATCTATCCCAACAGTCTGACTATGGAAACAGAGGATCAGGTGTTCAAGGTCAGCCTGGACTACATAACAAGTTTGATGCCAGTCTGGGCTATGTATGTCAGCATAAGCAAAGACATTAACTGAAAGTCGAAAGCTGTGCAGAATTATTAAATGTCAAAAGTGCCAGGATGAAAGGAAAAGGCAAGACGGAAGAGGTTGGTGCCCTCTGAAGAAAGAGCTCAAAAGGTAAGGAAGAGGGGGTGGCGGGCAGACAAACAGTCTGGAGACATAGCAGATGGCCACAAGCCTGACTCTCTTTGGCCACCACTGATCCATCACAATTTCAAGAAGGTTCATCTTCTGCACCCCAGTTGACCTGTATGGCCGGGTAGCAGAGCAAAACCACCACAAACTGCCAGCAGTGAGCTGGGAGTCACGAAGGCCAGAGCAGACAGTGAGCGATATGGTCAGAAGCCCAGCAAAATGCCAAAGCCAAGTCCATGTGTCAGAGTGGAGTTCAGGGCATGGGCATGATTAGATCCGATTCGACAGAGCACCCAAAAGGTGACAAATCCAGCAAGGGGGGAAGAGTGGAAGCTGGTGCCCTGGAGATGAGATTGGCAGGAGCCAGTAGGAATGCACAGAACCCAAAGTGAACTGGGAGGCAGTCCAAATGAGTCCCCATAGAGTCGTTGTGGGAGGGAATGGGGTCACTCTCTCACCTTATCACAAGCCAGAATTTTAATGTATCTAAAGTCCATTCTGTCAATGATATGTGTTCATGAAAATGAGTACAGTGGCTTTGTGTGCATGCATCTCCTTTCTGTAAATGGTATTGTGTTACACATCTCACTCCGTCAGCTCTTGGTTGTTAAAACCTTTCCATATTGCTATGTGTACAACTAATTCTGTTTCTAACCACTCCACATGGCAAGCATCTGCCACAATGCAATACCCACCCCACTGGGATGGTGACCCAGGTTGCCTCCAATTAACCTACCCCATCACAGCCTGCCTGGCGAGACTCTGAAGCTGTGAGCTGCCTCCTCAGTAACACCACTGTGGACGTGTGTGTGTGTGTGTGTGTGTGTGTGTGTGTGTGTGTGTGTGTGTGTTGGGTGGGGGTGGGGGTATTTGGGATACATTTCCAGGAGAAAAATAGCTGGGTCTTAAAGAAAATGTATTCCCAATAACCAAACAGTGGAAGACGGCTCTCCAAATGTTTGCACAGCAGCAGCTTAACGTGGTTTTGATGGCTCTCTTTTGAAGATCTGGGGCTTTGCCCCTTTCCAGTCAGCAACCTCCTGACCAGGCAGCAAATACAGCAGACATGTTAGAGAGGACCTAGCACCCACATGAGGTGGCTCACAATCACCTGTAATTCCAGTTCAGGGAGATCCCATGCCCTCTTGCGGTCTCCATGGGCACCTTCACATGTGTGGTGGACATAACACATAGAAGACACATAAATTTGAAAACTAAATACTTGTTTAAAAAAGAGTAATACTCAATGTCTTCCCCAGGTGACTGTATGAGTATTCTGGGGGGCAATGCATATTTGTGGACGCCATCTGGCCCTTTCCTAGATGTCCCTGTTCCCGGTCGGTATTTCTTTTTTTTTTTTAATAAAATTCTATAGTTTCCTTATTATTACTTTTATGTTCATTGGGGTTGTCTGCTTGTATGTCTGTGTGAGAGTGTCAGAAACCTTGGAACTGAAGTTACACACAGGTGTGAGCTGCCATGTGGGTACTAGGAATTGAACCCAGATCCTCTGGAAGAGCAGTCAATGCTTTTAACCACTGAGACATCTCACCAGCCCCATCCTTATTGGTATTTCTAAGCCCAAAGTAACCAAGATATACATGTGGGTAATGTGTCTCTGACCTGATCAAAAAACCCTTGAGCCTACTGGCTCCAATTGCCTACATCAATAGACGCCTATAATAAAATGACTGTTCAAAAATCTATACCGTGTTAACTTTAGCTGCGTTAGCCTAATAAGATTCTGTACTAACACATGGGCTTTATATTGGCACTTCACTTAGCTGTCTTGTTGTGTTCTTGTATTAAATACCTTCCATGTCCTTTTTGTTCTACCTTTGAGGTTTTTCTTGTATTATTTTACTCTTATAAGAGTGTGTGTGTGTGTGTGTGTGTGTGTGTGTGTGTGTGTGTGATTGCAATGTGTGATTGTTTAACCTAGCCTCTGTTGCCAAGAACTTAAGACCTAAACCAACTGTGTGTGTCTTGGAGGACACCTACCTCCACCTTATTTCTCTCTCCCTGCTTGGATTTCCTTCTGTTTAGAAGTGACCCCTGGCCAGTCTAAGGTCATTTAGTGTTCATGTCTTCTCATGTCTTCATTCTTTTATCACTAACTTGGCGATAGTTTATAACTGGACTTGCTGAAGAAGCTGCTGACTACTCCCCCAGGCCCCTGGAACCACTCTTCCTGTCTGACCTAGTAATGATTACACATGTGCCCAGGGAACTCCTGTAGTTCCTAGCTCTCTTGTGTTGGTCTGGCTGTAAGTGAAGGGACTTAGGGAATCATCTTTTTATTATTATTATTATTATTCTCTCATACAGTACATCTCAACAGCAGTCTCCCCTCCCTCCACTCCTCCTAGCACTCCTCCACCTCCCCTCTCCCCCAGATCCACTGCTCCTCCATTTGCCTTTAGAAAAGAGCAGGCCTCCCAGGGATATCAACCGAACATGACATAACAAGACGCAATAAGACTAGGCACAAGCCCTCATACCAGGGCTGGACGAGGCAACCCGGTAGGAGAAAAAGGGGTCCCAAGAGCAGGCGAAAGAGTCAGAGACACCCCACTCCCACTGTTAGGAGTCCCACAGGAACACCAAGCTGCACAACCATAACGCAGATGCAGAGGACTCAGCCCAGACCCATGCAGGCTTTGTGATTTAGGCAACCATTCTTTACCAGCATCCATTCACCAGATAGAAGGTGCAGTTATGAGAACTGGAAAGCCATCTTGTATCATAGGACGGATGATGCCTGTAAAGGTGATGGGACCTGCCTGGAAGAATCTTGAGTTGCTAATAATTGTGACACTGCTTGCCTAGGAAAAAGAAAAAAGACTTCTCTCTTAATCTCCCTCCCTCCATCTCTATGAGGAGGGGATGTCATATTAGCCTAAAAATAAAAATGTGTATTCCAGGGGCCAGCAAACATTTTATGTAATAAACATATAGGCTCTAAAGGGCAAATGACCTCTACTCAACTATGTTGCTCTGCTCCTTCAGCACAAACGCAGCTATAGATAACATGCAATCAAAGAGTATAGCTATATATTTTTTTAATTGTATTTACAAAAATGGGCATTTGTTATGTTGGAGTTGACCTATACGCTGTAGTTTGTCATCCTTCATATGGGACATCATTTACCTGTTCTTTAGGTAAATGGCACCTCCCTCTAAGACTCCTTCTGCAGTTTGTTATCTTTTCTCAGCCTCGTGGTTTTGAGACATCTCCATGTTAGCCATGTGGATTTGGTCCCAGCATTTCCATCATCAGAAGAGTCGCCATGGACTGAATGCTTTGTCCACACTCCTGCTCACGGATGGGTTGATGGTTCAGGCTGAAGAACCATGTGTACGGTCTTCCATATTGCTCCTGATTATCTGTTGTCACAATGTGACAGGAAAATGCTTCCTGGCCCATACCAGGGATGTCTCTAGCATTCACACCTGTGCATGAAATTACTATATCCATATGCTGCACATTTCAGCCTTATTAGCCATTTCCAAGCTTTCCATGGCGGCACCATGGAACCATCCATCAGCTCCCCAACAGCTTGTCTCCTTGTTTTACCTAACAATGAGACTTTTATCTAAGCACACAGAAGCTTTGGCATTTCCTAGCTCTCTCTTGCTGTCAGGTCTGGCCCATGCTCCACATCCTTCTCCACATTTGTTATCATCAGACTTAGAAAAGCTGTCAATCTAGTAGGTCAGAAGCAAACCCACCATGACTTTGGTTTGCACTTGCCTATTCACAGAGGCAGAGCATCGCAGGAGCATTTTGAATGCATTCTTCTGTATTTTGACTTTTGTTTTGTAAAAGTCTCTGGTAATATTCTTCACTTCTTCTCATCAATTATTTGTATTATTCATGTTGGCTTGTGAAAGGCTTTATCAGATTCTGAATACTAATTATTTATCTTTTATAGCTGTAAAAAAAAAGTCTTTTCCAAGTCTGTAAGTTTGACCTTTCACTTGTATTTTGATAAATGAATATTTGTAATTTTAATCGAGTCAAATGAATCAAATTTCTCATTTTTGCTCCTGCTTTTGGCATCTTATTTTAAAAACATTTCCTACTTCGAAGGTCATGAAGACATTCTCTTGAATTTTCTTCCAATATGCTGAAGCTTTTCTTTTTATCTCTAGGTCTTTAAGCACCCTAGGATCTGTGTTAGTTCAGATCTGAGCTAAAGAGAACACTTTTCCGTTCCAGACTGCCACATAGCCCGGTGTCACTTTGTAATTGCCGCGGTGTTCCCAAAGATGCACAACGCACCCTGTACCCGAGCAAATTGCTATGTGCTTGCTGCTTTATTGTTTTATTTCTGCAATCTCTTTTCTGTTCCTTTGATCTTTTGCCTCTCCTGTATCAATACCAAACAGTGCTGATCATTATAGCTTTATAATAATAAGTCTTGAGCTGTTTTCCAAAAGATTCATTCTCTCAGTTCTTGTTATTTCTTCCTCAACCAGTACATTCCTGTGTTCTTCCAAAGAAAACTGAGAATCAGCTCATCAGGTTGTATGAAGGAAACTTGATGGGATTTTGTCTTGAACCTCAACCTAAGAATTCACCTGGAAATACTGGATATCTTTACAGTGTTCGGTCTCAGTCACTGTATTTCATGTCCTTCCATAGCATCGTAGCCAGTGGGACAGCTGCAACCACAGTGTTGATCTCCATGGGTCAGTGTCAATGAAGATAACATTTTCTCCTGTTTGAATATAGGATTGTGTCCTTGGCCTTGTCCTTTCAAAAATATCTGCCAATCAATTATTCAGATGACACCAACCTAGTAGAGAGAGCACTTGCTGGAGATGACATAATGAAAATTCAGAATCTCAACAGTCCATATACATGGCCAAAACCAAGGGGAAATTTAACAAGTATATATGCTGAGCCCACAGCAGTTTCTGAAAAGCATGCAAATGCAGAGCGGCTGCAGAGGGAACAGTGGTTTGGCATCAGTATATGTGGAAATTAGGTGGTCACTGGTCACACACAGAATATAGGGCAGTAATATGAATGTGACCATCTACAGAATCATTGAAAACTTACTAAGGTACATTATTCAGTTCACGTGAATTCCAAGCTCCCTGTACCTGGTGTGATCCAATCACATCCACATCACATCTTTGAATGTGCTGTATGACACTACTAATGGGAAGATGTGAACAATTACTTGTGAACCACAGATGGAGAATTTGCAACAGAACAAGGTAATTATTCCATCAAAGTCCAACTTGGTGAACTAATGAATTTGGGGAGTTACTTAAAGGAGCATGGTTGACTCAAAGTCAACAGCATCACAAAAAGTCCACCAAGCTGGATGACAACTCACAGGTGGAGTTTGTAGGCAACAGGACCCAAGAGTCAAACTTAGATAACCTTTTCAAGGAAGGGACCTTGTGAATGTGGTAAGTTTCAGGGACTTCCTGTGGTGTGTGAGTTGTTTATTTTCTGAAGCTTAAGGAGACTTCCTTTAGAATGTCCTGAATTTTAACCAGCTTCCCTCTAGGATGGAATGTTTCAATTTGGAGGAATTGCTACCCAATGGAATGCCACAGCAATTTATCTCAGAGCATTAAAGGAGATAAACAAGGTATAAGAGGTGGAGTGCTGCCCATTCACGATCTCGGTCAAGAGATACCTACATTGTTACTGCTCTCATGGCAAAGCCACAAAGCAAAAAACACACTATCCTGCCTACATGGGAGGAATTCTGGCTCACCCTAAAGATGTCCTCAGCAAAGGAAGGGTCAGGCACATTGGAAGGCCGTGACTACCTGCTGGAATTGTGCTGGCCCAGTGTTATTGGGCATCTCCAAGGAGGACTATGAGTACCTGGCATCAGCTATTGCTCTGTGTGGTGAGTGGCCACCACTGTGAAATCATCCTCTCCTTCTCCCTGATCCAGCACAAGATTCTCTCATCACTGATCTGAGGAAAAAACAGGAAAGAAGCAGGTTAAGGCAGAACCTCAGAGGGGAATACAACCCAGCTTTTTCTAGGCTAAGGAGGATTCCATCACCTTTGTGTGTCGTGGGAGATTCATGTGGGTGTATGTGTGTGTAGGTGTGCCCATAGGCATGTGTACATGCATGTGGAGGCAAGATGTCAATCTTGAGTGTCATTCCTCAGGATCCATTTACCTTGATTTTTTGAGACATGGCTTCTCGTTATTGTCCTGAGACATGCTAATTAGCCTCAGCTGGCTGCTCAGCCAGTCCCAGGGACCCTCCTGCCTCTGCCTCTACAGCACTGAAATCGCAAGCCAGGTGCACATCTTTCTCACTTTCTACCTTATTTTTAACTAGACTGTCTGGCCATCAAGTGCCAGGAAAACTCTTGTCTCTAACTCCCAGTACTGGGATTACAGGCATGTGCTGCTGCTCCTGGACATTTTTTTAAAATTTTTATTCTTTAACCATCTCTTACATGTATATAATGAATTTTTATCAGATTCGCCCCATTACCTTCTCTTATCTGCTCCCACTCCCTCTGAACCCCTCCTTCCTCCCAAACAGTCAGCCCCCTGCTTTCATGTCTCCCTTTTTCTTAATGAACCAGTGGGTTTAATTATGTTGCATGACTGTGAGTTGGGAGTTACATGAAGAACATGAGCTACACCACTGAAGAAAAATTACTCCCCCTCTCCCAGTAGCCACTAACTGCCTGTAGCTTTTCGGATATGGGTGGGGCCTCATGTGCCCACTCCCCATCCATGACGGAATGTTGGTAGGCTTAGTTTCGTTCAGATCTTATTCAGATAACCACAGCTGCTACAAGATCATGACTTTGTAATGGTTACAACAGCCATGCCATGTCCAAAAGACATTTCCCTTCGCTCCTTCCCATCCTCAAGCTCTTAAATTCCTCCCAATCCCCACTTTAGCAATCCCCGCTTTGGAGAGGGTGATGCAGGTGTCTAATTTAGGCTGGTGTCTTTTTTTTAAAGTAGTTCTTGGGGCTCAAACTCAGATCTTCATGCTTGTGTGGCAAGCCTTTACCAACTAAGCCATTGCCCCAACCCATATCTTATACTCTTGGAAATTTGGAGTATTAGCAAACTTTTAATTTTTGATAATTTGATAGATCTAACATGTACCCCATTATGCTCTGGGGTTTTATGTTTGTTTTTATTTAATTAGCATTTTCTGGGCACTAATAAAAATAAACATTTTTCCCACATATTTACTGGCTAGTAAGAATTCTGTCCTGTGAATTGCCTCATCTTTATCTTTGAAGAGATTTTCGAGACCTGTTTTGTATCGATCACTACCATTTTTCATAGGACCGGAGTATTTGTCTCTCATCAGTCAAACGAAGAGGACAGCTCTCCTGTGGCTCCATTGTCCTCCTAGCTCTGTTCTGCTTCTAATCTTCCCTCCAGCCTTGACCGTTGTCCCCGAGTACATTCGATCCTTGCTGTCACTCACAAGGCATGGCTTTTCCAAAGCCCACCAAAAATCGATGGCTTGTTTGGCTCTTTGGCACAAAACCCGCAGTACCGGTAACTTCCACAGGCGGTGCTTTGGTTCATGGTACAGGAGTTACAAGGCACAGCTGGATTTCTAATTAGGTCAATTTTCACCTGTTTCATTTTTGTTAAGACACTGAGCTCCTTGCTTTATGATTAACAATGACAAACTACCTAATAGGTTAAGAGCAAAGTTGAGAGAATTACACATCCAGATACATGTGATTTGCATCATAAACAATCTCGAGGGACGCAATCACAGTTTACCCTTCCTCTAGTTCCTTCTTACATACACATTCACCTTGGTAAATGCCAGTCTTCCCCATTCAGCCTGCTGTCCAAAGTGCCTATGTAAGGCCACCATTAGCAGTAGCTCCTCTGCCTGCAGGTCTCCAGGACGCACTGGAAGACGGGAATTATGTTGGGAATTATTAGCTTGCTGTAATTATCTTAGCTCTTCTCTCCACTCCTGCTTGGAGCCTGCCTTTATCACCTGTACAGAAAGGCCCCTGTCCCAAAACCCAGACTGCCCAGGAAACTGCTGACCTCCCTGCTCTGTTCTTCAACCTCCCCTTTGCCAATGTTCCAGTTGCTTCCCAGCTGTGTGATCTCTCACTCCTGGAGCTCTAGCAGCAAATTGAACTTGTTCATCACTGCTTGGTGTGATCTGTTTGGGAATCCCTGTCCTAGACCACAGGTTCTTATTAACACAACTGTATACCTGACCCAGATGCAGTCCTGCAGGATGCTAAGCACTTAGAGACAGTCCAGGGCACAGGCAGGGATCACTTCCTTACCATTGCTGGACTGTGTCTGTCATTTATAATTATTTATGTTATTGCTAATTATAAATGTGCTACTTTGTCATTTCCTATGGCTCTTCACATAGGCTAGGGGTTTTATATTACATAGACATTTTTTAAATGCCCTCCAAATATTATCCAGGCTTATAAAGGAAGAAAATCCCTAACCATGCTATGGAGTAGATGGACCTGGAGAACATATAGAGTGAAAGAATCTAGGAAGATAGATGCCACATGATTCCATTTCCACGAGGCCCTTAGTGTCTCCATAGAGACGTCATGGAGTGATGGTCACTAAAGGCTGTGGAGGGAGAAGGGAAGAGTTGTTTAATGGGCACAGTTTCTGTTTTATAGTATGAAGAGGTTTTCAAGATTTGAGGATGGTTACACAGCAATGTGAATGCAGTTATTGCCACTGAGCTGTTCAATTAAAAGAGGTTATTATGGTAAGCTTTATGTTACCTATATATTTTACCACAAGTTTTTATAGTCCATTTCTTTTGTAGATTCCAGGCAGTGCCTTGCAAGACACAGATAAATGGTGTTCCAGGCCTCCAAGACATTTTCACCCATCATTTAATCCTTATAGGATTCCCACACTATTATTTCACCTCATCTTCACCATAAACTTATGAGATGTGTATTTTAATCCAATGAATAGATAAGACACAGCAACATTGCAGATCTTGCCCACAGCAAGCTGGAAATAAACCAGAAGGTCTTGGGTCTTCGACACCAGGTGAATTGTGTGTCCATGGTTGTTATCTGCACTGATTTATCAACTTGGAGATCCAGAATCAACCCTTCAGGCTCATATTCAGAGTCAATGCTCCAGAAGTCTCTATAAGAACAATACAGAGCCTCAAGACGGTAGGTGTGGGGTATATGGGTTATACATGCCTCTCTTTCTGTGTGTGTGTGTGTGTGTGTGTGTGTGTGTGTGTGTGTGTGTGAGAGAGAGAGAGAGAGAGAGAGAGAGAGAGAGAGAGAGAGAAACAGAATATTTCTAGAAGAAAAAACATATTTCACATTGTAGAGGGAGCGAAACCTATAAACTATCAAGTAGCATGTAGTAGTTTGTGCCTTAAACTCTTGATGGGAATGTGAATTAGCACAACCACTGTGGAAAACAGCAGGGAGATCCCCCCGAAACCAAAAGCAGAACTGCCCACGATCTAGCAATGCAATATCTGGGCGTATATATTCAAAGGAAATGAAACTGGGACCCAATTGTGGTGTCTGTTCATTGCAGTACTATTCATAATAGATAAGATATGAAATCAATCCAAATGTCCATCAATGGATGAATAAAAAGCCAAACCGTGGTACAGGAAATACACACAATTCACCCTTTAAAATAGAAGGAAATCCTGCCATTTGTGAAAACGTGGATAAAACTAGACGACATTATGCTAAGTAAAATAAGCCAGACACAGAAAGACAACCATGCATGGCCTCATTCATAGGTGGAATGTACAACAGTGAAAGGCACCAAAGTGAGAGGTGGAGGGTGGCTGGCAGAGTCTGGAGGGAAAGGGAAGCCCAGATGTTTGTGGAAGGGTGCAAACCTTCATTGTGCAGGCTGGGTAATTTCTGGAGATTAATGGAGAGGATGGTGACTCCAGTTAACACTCTGCGCTGGAACTTGAAATTCTCTAGAAAGATGGATCTTAATTGTTCTCAACACACACACACACACACACACACACACACACACACACACACACTCACACACACACACACACACACACACACACACACACACACACTCACACGCACGCACGGTATCTAAATATGATGATGTATGTATATGGTGGGGATTTTTTTAGTATATGTATGTATGTATGTATGTCAAAGTACTGTGTTGTCTACTTTAAACAAGACATTTTTACTTGTATTTGCCATTTATACTTTATGCTGGGGAAGAGTTGGGGGCAAAGAAAGCCCCGTAGTTTTCAAACACAGGTAGCCAAGCCAGAGGCAGAACTGGCCTTGGAACTGGTTGCCATGGGCAACATAATGCAATCTAGTCCCCAAGTCCTTGGCATATGTGTGACTTGCTGTCCTTGGGCTCCACAGCCTAAGGCATCTGAGCAAGGACCACAGGCACACAGCAGAGGACAATCTGTTCTCCAAGAGACTCTCATAAAGCCCTATTAGCTCCAGGACAGGGTGCTCTGGGCAGAGCCCTTCTCTGAGAAAGGGGAGGGCAGAGACTGTGAGGCAAAAAGACAGGTAGATGTGAGCCATGTGAGAATTGGGGTAGGGTGGGGGCTTTGAAGTAATTCTGATAGAAAAATCAGACTTTGGTTACCGATATAAGAAGATAATAGTCACGCTTGTGGGGTCTCTGCCCGGGCCACCGAGTATCCACCTACTCTCTATTTAAAGATAAGTGGTGGTCGGTGTGAAATTCTGATGTGTTACAGTTGGTGCTCTTCCTTTTTTAATAACTTAGTTTTCTATAAACAAGCAATACAGACCAGCACACTCCTGCACCCCCTGCTCTCAGCTCCTTAATCTGCCTTCTTGATCTCTGGACCCTGAGAGACAACCAGAGGGAGAGGGGTGTGTGTGTGTGTGTGTGTGTGTGTGTGTGTGTGTGTGTGTGTGTGTGTGTGTGATAAACGTCCCCCACCCCCCACCCCAGCATAACACAGGGAAAGAACCCACCTTGTCTCTTACCCCTAGGCCTTCTTCTGAGCTGTTCTGAGTTGTCCTGGGATGGGCAAGGCAAGGTTTCCCAATTTCTAGCTTACCTGCTTTCACATCCCAAAGTACGGCCACTTACGTCTCACTCAGCGGCTCAACATACAAGTAGAAAAGTTAGGAGATGGCAACACAAGACTATTTCAGACAATGTGCAAATATTCTTCCATGAAGTCTCGCCCAGCTGGGGAGGGGGGGCGGGCAGGGGACAAGACTGACACACAAGAAATAGATCATCCAGCTAACCACATCAGTAGGGAGTTGTGTCAGAACCCAGCCAGCAACCTCGGGTGAGGCACTTCACCTTCCTAATAAAACTGGGGAGAGAGGGAAGAGAACACCACCCCCTCCCTCCCAGGGATCATGAGAGCAGAGTCTCTGCAAACACCTTTGGAAAGGGCATGTGGGGTGTCCTCTGCACCCCACCTGCCCTCTCCAAGGTGTGTACACCACAGTTCCCAGGGCCTTGTCTCCTGGATTAGTGCTCGGGTCAGGGGCAGAGGGGAGAAGGAGCCAACACTGATGAGTTCTGCAGATGTGCTAGAACATTCTGTTTACGAAGAACGCACAGAGGTGTGCGGTATCATCTTCAAATCCAGCTTCCATTGCTGCCTGCACTTGGGGCCTGCTCCCCTCTGCTTCCTGTTGTGCTCAGGGATAACACATGCTGCCTTATAAGCCAGTTAGAACAGCCTCGGGGGTGCAGGGGAGCGTGGCTCGGCCACAAGAAGTCTATGGCAGGCATGCCTGGGGGCTACAACTTAGCCCCCGTGCTTCACTGCATTTCATGAAGCAGACTGCAATAGAGCCCTCAAAAGTGGCATTTGAACTGCCGTTACTTCCTCCAGAGGCCTGATGCTACGTCATGAAGAGCCACCTTGAACCGCACCACACTGCCTGCCATGCTTCAGGAAAGTCTGGAGCTGGGTTCACCAGGGCTCACTGTGATTCAGGTCAGCTGAGCAGGTCATCTCTGTCCATCCGCCAGATAAGATTCTTCAGCAAGCCCATGTGACAGAGTCTAACTCTTTTGCGTAGACGAGGACACACCAAAACTTCTCCCTCTTCGGGACAGAAGGGGGCTCCCCAAGTAACTTAGCCACCCTTCTCCCTGCGCCCTCGGTGGTTCCATGCCTGATGGCAACCTTTTCTCCTAGAAAAGCAGGTTCTATTCCATCCCAGGAATGCCTCCATTTCCCTTCCTCCCTGTAATGATGACAGGGGAAGGCACTCACGGAGCCTCTGGTCTGGGCCATGCTGCTTTCTGGAGATTTTCTGTCCTGTGTTAACTACTTCATCCTCACTCAGACTTAATGAGTGTTCTTAAGGCAGAGGTCAGTGTGCAGCCCAGGAGTATTTCTATTTCCACACATATTTTCACAGTGGATCTAGGATCAAGGAGCCCATGAGATCAAAAGCCATGGTGTTACAGGGTTTCTGCTAGGCAGAACTGGATAAGAATGCCAGGGAGAGGTTCCTCCTGAGACCCCATGTATGCTATGAGCAAAGCTGGCCACATTCACTATTTTCTCGTTACTGTGATAGTGAACTGGTCCTGTAGATTGAAAAGGTGCTTTGGGGAAAAGACTAGGTGTTGTGTCAACCAGCCCTTCAGGACTGCTTCTTAAACATATGGGGCTATTGCAGGATCCCTTCCACTGGGTTTGTTTAAATGGTCCCTGCCCATCCTCTGTACAATCAGAAGGTTTGGAGTAGCACCCACCCAAGCATCTGCATGCTATTAGATATTACAGGTGGCTTTGCTGTAGCTAGCCCAAGGAGCTCACTTTGAGAGGCTGCTGAGACATATGTACTAAGCCCGCCCTCCAGCTTCAGGTTCAAGGTCAGGGATGGGGCAGGAGATTGGTCATTGCTAAGTTCCTGGGGGATGTTGGTACTGAGACTCAGGAACCCACACTGAGAATCACCACTAAGAGTCTAGCAGTTTCTCTCAGCCCTGCTGTCCACTGTCACCATCTAAGAATTTGTTTTTATACTTATTTATTTTGTGTGTGTGCCACAACTCAAGTGTGAAGGCCAGAGGACACATTGCAGAAGTCAGTTCTCTCCTTCCACCATGGGAATCCCAGGGATCAAACCCAGGTTGTCAGGCCTGGCCAGAAGCCCCTTTACCTACCCAGCCGTCTCACCAGCCCTCTCCAGGAAGTGTTTTAAATTACTGATGCCTGAGTCCCCTCTTCAAGCTCTGGTCTGGGCCAATCCAGGACAACTGATGTAGATTCCAGCTGGTGACCTGAGAAAAGTCACTTCACCTCTTCAAGCTCAAATTTCTTGAAAAAAAAAAAAAAAAAAAAAAAACAGTGGGTGAAAATTCCTGATTAATTAATGATACGAGAGTAAAACACATATTCAATTCTTGTCCCCCTTCCATGCCTGGATATTGTCGTCATCAAGAGCCCCCAGCTCCACTGTCTGTTCCACCTCCCTCCCTCCCTCCCTCCCTCCCTCCCTCCCTCCCTCCCTCCCTCCCTCCGTCCCTCCGTCCCTCCCTCCCTCCCTCCCTCTTTTTCTGTCTATCTCTCTCTCTAGCTCTCGCTCTCTTGCTCTCTCTCCAGAGTCTCTTATGTGCTTGTATCTCGCCCCATATAATTAAGACAGACCTTGGACTTCTAATCGTCCCCTCCACCTTCCATGTGAGGGATTACAGGTGTGGCCCACCACCACACACAGTTTTATGTGGTTCTGGGGATGGAATCCAGAACTGTACAAATTGTGCAAACTGGGCATCCCCATATGTTGTTGTTGTTGTTGTTGTTGTTGTTTGTTTGTTTGCTTGCTTGCTTGTATATTCAGGCTTGCTGCATTCCTGGCCCTCTTCCAGGTGTTGAGGGTACAAAAGTAGACACATGGACCTGGCTCTTCAGTTTCTTAAGCTGAGCAAGAAGCTTAAACTAGGCAAGAAACATAGGGACAAAATAGTTCAAATTTAAGTTTTAAATGTGTAAAGTTCTAGGAAGGAAACAAGAAGCCAAACTCTAATGGTCGCAGGAATAAGGCATTCCCCATGGTGGCTTCATTAAAGGAGGCCTTTCTTTTACTTGAAAGAGAGGGTTCTTATCATCCCAGTGGTGCCTCTGAAGGCAGTTCTTCTTAGTGAAGGAGTCATACCCAAGGCTGCATCTTCCAGGCTGGTTGCAAGCAAGTGTCCCCTTTGAGGAGTGTAGAAGAGGCTGATGGGAAACTCTAACTCTGTAAGGCACTGGCATGGGCTGCAAACCTGAACCAGACCAGAATGGGTGAACCTACTAAAGCCACTGTCCTAAGGCACCTACCTGGCCCCTCAGCACATTCACATTAGGGTACAGGGCTGTGGGGGTTTGGATAAGAATGGCCCCTGTAGACTCATACATCTGAATGCTTAATTATCAGGGAGTGGCACTGCTTGAGAAGGATTAAGAAGTGTGGTCTTGTTGGAGGAAGTGTGTCACTGAGGGTTGGCTTTGAGGTTCCAAAGGCCCAAGCTTGGCCCAGTGTCTCTCTCTCTCTCTCTCACTGCCTGCAGATCTGGATGTAGAGCTCTCAGCTACTTCTCCAGCACCACATCTGCCTGCATGCCACCATGGTCCCTGCCATGATGGTAATGGACTAAACCTCTGAAACTAAGTAAGCCCCAATTAAATGCTTTCTCTTATAAGAGTTACCTTGGTCATGGTGTCTCTTCACAGCAATACCACAGTGACTAAGACAACACAGACCAAGAACACAGCAAAGAGTGTGTGGGGAGTGAGACCTGCCCCCATTCAAGGCCCCAGAATGAGCAGGGATCTGAGAGGAGACGTGAGATCATAGAAAAAGACAAAGCCTTGCTTCTCCAACTTGACATCACCCACTTCCAGGTCAACTTGGACATGACACTTGGTTTTGTATCTGGCCTGTCCTATTTAAACGTATCTATGCTAAGCATCAAGTCCAATAATGGTCAGATATTTCAAAGAGAAGACCCAGGACCCAGAGAGAAGATACTATGTGATCTACAGAACTGCTTAAGAGGCCCTGAAACGTGGATCATTGTAAAGATAAACAGCAAACTCTACCAATTAAAAAAAATGCAGAGTAAAAGCAAGCATTGCCTCCTGCCTGCCTGAAACCTCCATGTGCATCAAGAAGCCCCCTCTCCCTGGAGTCCAGAACCTCCCATAAGCAGAGCCTGTGGAGCCCCAAATGTTGAGAAACTTGTCAGAAGACTCCCTCAATTGTTTTGAAACTCCTGAAGCTGTTGTGTTCTCCCCAACACCTGCTGAGGGTGGAGCACCCAAATCCACACCATAGGGCATGCTTACTTTCTCAGCTGCTCTGGAAGACTTCTCCTGCCCATTCCCCCACCTACTTGCCTGGATGGGAGCCTCTCTCATCTGCCCATGAATCATGTCTATGAAGATGGTATGGAGACGGAATGTGTGTGCTCTATTGTCTCCATGGAGGTGTCAACAGGTGAGTCTTTCCTGTGTCAGTTTCTTGCAGCTCTGCTGTCCTGCTTTCTGTGTGTTTCTTTCTCTACCTCTGTCTGCCCCACCACATCCTAACTCTATGTACAAAGATAAGAAAAGTGGTTGGTCTGAGCACTCATCACCTGCCAAGAATCTTAAGTATATCATCTCATTTAATCAAACCATTACAAAGCTATAGGGTAGATATAAATATGCCAGCTTTCCCAGTGCAGAAACTGAGGCATGGAGGGGTCAAGGGAGTCACCCAAGCTAGTTCATCTAGAAGCAAAGCCGGTATTTGAATTTCAGACACACACCAAAGTTGTCACTGGAACTGCCACAAGCCTTCCCTCCCTAGGCATCCTGCTTGTCCCCACCTTAAAGCTTCTGCAATACAGTGGACCAGGGAAGCCGAGGTCAGCCCGAGGACACCTCCCACCCTCTCAGGTGAGCTTGATCTTTTGAGGCTTCCCAGTCCTGCTTGAGACACAAATTGGTTCAGCATCATTCCTGACCCTGAGATGTAGCCACGGATTCGAATAAGGCTACATTTCCTGACGGATCAAGATAGACTTTTGTCAAGGCATCAGAACAAAGCTGTCCTGCTAAGCCCTCCGTGAAGGTGCAAATTGCTAACCTGATTTGAATATGTCTCCAGTTTGCTTGGGTCCCATCAAAAGGTTTTGATACAAGAGCTGAAGAATAATGAATAACAGAATCTGAGATGAGCTCTACTCATATTTGAGCTTGAAATGAATTCCGAGTTGTCTGTTGTGGGAGCCAATTTCAGTGTTTTCAAATGGAGTTGGCAAGCAAGACCAGGGCCAGACAGAAATGAACCAATAAAATCAAGAGCAGATTAATTAAGGTCCCCGAGTTTGAAGCAGAATAGTGACAAAGGGAGATGGCAATAGTGCTTTCTCCAAGAGGGACAAGTTGGGGTATTTTTATATAAGTTTCTAGAAAAATAATTTAATTTTGACATCATCTCCACAAATCAAGTAGGCTTATCTTTCTCCCAAGGAGAGTAAAGATTGCCCTTCTTCTAGCCAGAGGGGAATCTCATTTCCCCTCTCCTTATCATTTATTAGAAATCAAAATATTGTTTCAAATGGATGTGTTTAATATTTCAGACTCTGTAATGTGTCCGGCACAAAAGGGCAGCCACGGTAAGCAGAGAACAGGGGTTAGAGAGATGAGAAATGACCAAAGACTTTCTCCAATCCATAACTCCTGTCCTCTGAGGCCTGGCTGACTGGCTGTCCACTCACTCAAGACTGAGGAAAATAAGACTGTGACCCCCTCCCCTTCTCAAAGTGTAGACATGTCCAATAATACCAACTGTAATATCCACTGCACAGGAAGTTGGATGAGAAAAAAATACTACTTAGTTCATATTTATTAACGATGTGGTCCAAATTAATGGTTTATTTCTCTGTTTTTGTATCTTTTATCTTTATCTTTTGTGTGTATATTTGCATGTGTGGATGTATGGGGGGTACACATGTGTGTACACGTGTGTAGAAGCCAGAGGTCAACATCAAGTCTTTTTAATCACTCCCCCCGCCCCCTTTTTTTTTTTTTGAGACAGGATCTCTCACTGAGTCTGGAATTCACCAACTGTCCTGACTGGCTGGCCAGCAAGTTCCAGGGATCCCTGCGTTCCCTACTTCGCCAGTGGTAGGATTTCTGGCTTATGCCACCGTACCCAGCTTTTTCCGTGGCTTTCGGGAGCCCGAACTCAAGTCCTCAGGCCACCTGCTCAGCCCCTCCTCGTGACATTTCTCTCTCGGGGTTCCCTTCGCCAACTAGCTTGCCCCTTCTCTCACCTCCTCTCATACATACATCTTAAGTATTGCTCGGCTATTTAAAATGCCTGGCGGAGCCACCCTCAAAACCTGCTCCCTGCGTGGACTAACTGATGGAAAACCCAAGCCCCATGCACCTTCCACTCTAGACTACACTGGGACAAGAAGATGAAATTCCTCCACTCTATCAATTTGGCAAGTTTGAAATTCAGAGTGTCAAGTTTACCTATAATGAGGGACACCTCTACTGACCCGGATGACAGGCTCAGCCTGAGGGAGGTGACAATGCAGCTAACTCAATTACCAAGTGTTTGGGACGTGTGAAGCGCCGTGAGAATGCTGAGCAATAACATTACGGCTTCACGAGAAAGATGTGCGTATCACCCAGGAGCATCAGTAAGTCGGAAACATAATTTGCAATAAGTCATCATTAATTAACGCTAAATTGCTGGGCCCTTCCTGGGGAAGCCGCGTATTAAACTGACATCAGTATGTGAAGAGTTCATTACGGTTAATGCTGTGAGAACGCAAACTGGAGGACTTAATAGTGGATTAGAAGGTGTTTGTGTCCAAACACCTCCATGCCAGCTCCACAGCTGCCACACTCCAGCAAAGACGCTCGCTTGTTGCTAAGGAGGAGCATGGGAGACTTGGAAACTGAGGAGGAGGAGGCTCTCCCAGTGAGGAAGAGCGAGATGTATAGAAGTACATGCCAGAGAGCTGGCAGGCAAGCAAAATGAACGAGGAGGTGGCAGTGGTCTCCCAGGGCAGAGGGGAGGGTGAGGCTTACCATAAGCAAGTCTATTTTCCATCTACTTCCTCCATCTGCAACTTGTCTAATGTTATAAAGCAATTTGCCGTATGAGAAGTTACGGCCTCAGACTCAAGGTAAAGTGACCCTAACATAAATTCACCACGTTCATGGTCTTCAACATAGATCTAAGTAATATAATCGCTAATCTACATGTACTAATATATGCACATATTTATGTATATATCTTGTTATAAAATACACAGAAAGTTGCCCCCAGCACA